TATACACCATTTACAACTCCGACATCCCACATCCCCCCAACACCAACATATACTTATACGCCGACGACCTGACAATCACATCCCAATCCGTAGATCCTAGATATTCCGTCTCCCTCCTCCAAAACTCCTTAGACCAACTTGAAACCTGGTGCAACAGGTGGAAAGTCAAAATTAATCCCAACAAAAGTTCGGCTATCCTTCTTACCAAACGAAAATTCCCACAAAACCTCGACAGACTGACACTATCCCAGGAACGCATCTCCTGAAATCGACAAACACGATACCTGGGCGTGACGATGGACCAGCGTCTCACGTGGAAACCGCACATCGTGGAGACGGTGGCGCGATCGAAGACCACCAGGGCTAGGCTCTATCCCTTACTCAAAGGTGGAAACACCCTCAGTTTAAGGAATAAGCGAACGCTTATCAAGGTGGTACTTCAACCGCAGCTAACCTACGCCTCCACGGCGTGGGGTCACGCGGCTTGCAATACACAAACGCTACACAGACAATAAGACAAAACGCGGAGAAACGGTTTGACATAGCCGCGAGACATCGCGCGCCATTATTCCATGGCTAGAAATTGGCCTCAATGATTTGGGATCGAGGGGGATTATCCCTCTTTATCCTGCCTCATCTCGTGTAGGCCTGGACAGCCTTCGTAGGTGGGCCCCATCCGTCGTCTACCCCGACCGCAAATGCGGCCGGTGCAGGCGCTTTATGGGACCTCCTTTTGTCTTGGCTGGGCCCCGCCGGCTAGGGCTCTTTCTTCTGGCGCTCTTCTTGCTTCGCCGGCTCGTCTGTGTTATATCTGTGTAAACCCCGGGGGTGGTGTCATATTTATGTGTGGTATGGTTGGGTAGGGCAGTGCGCCTATGCAGCCTGGGATGCGCTTTGCTAAGGTGGCCCTTAGGCTAGCGCGGGAGTGGAGGGGTAAGGAGGGTATGGGGGTGTGTATGTGTGTGTGTCGTTGTCTTCGTTTCTTGATCCTGGCTGTCTCTGAAACAGAAAAGGTTAGCGGGNTCTGGAGGCGGCAATCCTCTCCCTTGAGACTGACATTAAAAACGCCCTGACTCATTTCTAGCCATAGAATAATGGCGCGCGGTTCCGACAGACCCGGGGCACCCTCCCCGATGACATAAAAAACTTAATACGTGACAGACGACATGCGAAACGGCTTGCCACTCGCACCGGCCTCCCGCCTCCCCCGACACAGACATGACTTAAACAGACGGGTGAAGGCGGCTCTGGGTGAACTGGCCCAGGAGAACTGGGCTAGGCACCTGAAGTTGCTGGATCCACAAGTCGACAGTCTCTGGAAAACGCAGAGGGCCCTGCGACAGACCGCTCGCCGTAAAATTCCTCCAATCCACGGTAGTGTGGAGGTGGCTTACACGAACCAGGAAAAGGCCGAGGCTTTCGCCGACAGCCTGGAACTGCAGTGTAGACTGCCTCAGCTGCCCGACGAAGACGGAGTTCGAGATAGTAGCTGAGCGCGCGGCCCGACGCGTCGACAGAGAGCCAGACAATGACATGATCCCCCCCGCAACACCTGACGAACTAAGACTGACAATACGCAGACTTAAAAACAGAAAAGCCCCCGGACCCGACAATATACATAACACGACACTTAAACGACTACCACACAAGGGCCTCATGGCCCTACTAAACATAACAAACGCGACACTCAGACTAAGACACTTCCCTACCCGCTGGAAAACAGCAAACATAATCCTTATCCCAAAACCCAACAAAGATCACACCATCCCATCCAACTACCGGCCCATTAGCCTGCTCCCGGCTATGAGCAAAGTGGTAGAAAAAATTATCCTAACCCGTCTAAGAACCCACTCCCAAGAACTGCAAGTCATTCCAGACGAGCAGTTCGCCTTCCGACCCAATCACTCCACTGAACTCCAAATCCTTCGCCTTACCGAGCACATCACGGCGGCCTTCAACAGGGGACAGTACACTGGTGCTGTCTTCCTGGACGTCGCAAAGGCCTTCGATACGGTTTGGCATGAAGGCCTACTGATGAAAATGCTCACCAACCAATATCCCATATCCTTTACCAAACTCATAAAATCCTACCTACACCACCGAAAATTCCGCATCCAAATCCAAGATTCCCTTTCCACCACCCGTCCCATGGAGGCCGGTGTCCCCCAGGGCACCGTCCTGTCCCCACACCTATACACCATTTACAACTCCGACATCCCACATCCCCCCAACACCAACATATACTTATACGCCGACGACCTGAC